ATTTCGTCAGCCTCGAATTCCAACGTTGAAACAACTATGTCATGGTCTGAGCCCCCCAGTGGGCCTCGGGATGACACTGACGATGGCAAGCAGCCTCTGCAGAAAATTAGGTCAAGTATACTTGAGCCTCGGTAGGGAAAATCGACAACCTGATTCCACATCCCAACATCTACAGCCTCAAGAAAGTCATCGAACTTTCTGCAGCCTGAAGGCGGAGACCAGCGGACTTCAGAGAGATTAAAGTCACCCGCAATCAATTGATACTTAAAGCTTAAGTCGACCGCAGCATGAAATGCCTGTGAGAGTAAACTATCAAAATTGTCATTGGCGTTGGGAGGGCGATAGACGCAGCCAACGAGTAAGGAGAACTTATTTTTTAGTGCAACCTGGAGCCAGCAGCTGCCTTCTACTGCGGAAAAGTGCGGGAGGTCCAACGGCAAAAATGTAAGTGCTTGCTTAACGTAGACGCAGCTGCCCCCACCACGGCTATCTTGGCGATCATTTCGAATGCAATTGTAGGCTAGAAGAGAGAGTTCGGGTCTGCTACTGAGGCTGATGCCCACGTCTCAGTTACTAAAACAATATCAGGACAATGGACGAACACCTGAGTCTGAAGCAAAGGCATCTTATTAAGCAAGGATCTGGCATTTAAAACAAAAAGTTTGAAGGGAAAGGCTGTTAGTTTTTGAGGGAGGTGGGCTACATCGTCCAGTTCTGGGCTGCCCACGGAGCAAACGGTCCGGATGCAACCATCCGGTTCTGCAGAAACTTTTGTGGCATCAAAAAATTCTGACGTGGATAAAAAGGGGTAGCACTTGGGGGAGGGAATGACGGGCAGGTAAACTGGTAACTATTGTTAGCTAACTTATTTTCAGCTGGAAATCCGCGGGGCAGATACTGCAACACATTCCTCCCGGAACGAAACTGAAGATCGGATGAGTTAACTGGTCCAGTATGAACATTAGCATGACGAATACATTGATAAAACGGCCGTGATGGAAACAGGTTAGGGGGTGGGGGACGCATTGTTTCCATTGGAACAAGAGGTCTATTAAACGGTGGGAAAATCGGCATATTCGGCCTAACTGCCTCGATATGAGGGCTGGGGGCAGTTGGGAACACGGTACGTTTTGAGTCGGGGTATTTGAGGCACTGTTCGCCGATTGTGGAGGAAAACATTTTATAATGATGCTGGATTTACCGGGTTTCCGAGTGGCTGAGGCAGTAAATGAATTTGCCTTTGACTTCGACACGTGCTTGGGCTTACTAGGGGTTGCTGGGGGAGTCGATAGAGGCGTGTTTATACCAGGCGTGGTGGTGTGTTTAAAGAGGTCAGCATTAAAACTAGTCGAACTCCCTACGGAATTGACTATGCCGTGACTTGCAGATGCCGCAGATGGTGTTGTAGAGGACACATTCAGACTGACAGTAGGTGTCATTATCTTGGTGTTGGTTTTTGCCGATTTTAGTTTACTCAGTCTTCACTGCAGGGGTGTGAGGTCTGGCGAAACGGAGCAGCGCCATTTACTGCAGAAGTCTCTAGTTATCTCCCTACTCGAAAAGATAAAATCGACTTCTATCATGGAGAAAAGGGTGACTAGTATCGGCGCATTACGGCTAAGCGAGCGAAGTCGCTTAGCTTGTGCGACACTGAAACTCAAGCCACAACTTTGTAGGAACAAATGCGCTCCCTCCGTAGCAGATAAGTGGCTCGGAATGTTTCGTAGTACGAAATTATGCTTGCGTTTAATTCGTTTCGCAGTTTCCGAACTTATTACCCCAATAAGTTTAAAAGCTTCTTCAATTACTTTTTCAGAAGTGCTGTTTATGTCGCCATAAATCAGCTGATCGATTATTTCGCCGGCTGATGGCCTGCTACGACTAGCAGAGGCGTATTTTTGGACGACTGAAGGGTCGAGAGGTTCTACATGTACTAAAGGGATTTGTGAGTTAATTAGATCTACAGGCGGCGAAGAACATATGCTGGCACCTGCTATGTCTTCAGTCACGATTTTAGCACCCAGAGACGGTGGGGAGGCCGCAAGCTTTCGCCTTTTAGCACGTGCTCTGCGGGGCATTACAGACAAAAAAGTTTTTCGTTACAGAAGAAGGATCAAAACGTTTCCAACGTACGGAAAAGCGCGCCGAATAGCAAGTATTACTGTTATTTAACTACAAAAACTAGAGAGCGGTAGTAGAGAAAGGATTCACTACAATGGATTTTTTACAAAATACGACTATTTTGCCAGACTGTCAAACAAAACTGGGAAAAAATTTTACCTTATATTGAAAGGCGACTTTTAAAAGGGACTCAAGTACAAAACAGGCATTAATTACTTAAGAATATCCAGATAAATGCAGAGCTTCACTTATCTTTGAAATTGAGCTGCGCGCCTTGACCTTGACCTGTATGTTGGGATGTGGATGTGGATCTGGTGTGCTGAGATTTTGTCTGTTCGCCTGATGCCAAAACCTAAGTCTAACCGTTCAGGAAAGGAGAAACCGAACCGGTCTCCATCTTGCTCCGTCAAAAGAGCTGACATTAGCCAGGAACTAGTCCCTCAGTCGGGACCCCAGGACGGTCTGTCTACTACATACCCACCTCGAAAAGATTTTGAAGGTCAGGCCGATGTCAAATTTCCTCAATTTCCCTGAAGGACATATTATTCATGCCCCCAAAAACTACAAAACTGCACAATTCAAGTTTTATTTTGTACATATCGTTCTTTTTTAAAACTTTTGCGATCATTTTTCCTTGGAACTCAGGTTTTTTAACTTGAAACATATTCTGAATTCGCGCTCTATTGGCCAAACAGACACCCAAAACCAATGAAGTCTGAGTGCAGTCGAAATGGATGAGTTTATTTTAGGTTTTTACCTGAGTTCAAAGGAGACTAACAGTGCCCAAGGGGCGCTAAAATAAACCTATTCTATTGAAGTCACCCGCAATCAATTGATACTTAAAGCTTTAGTTGGCCGCAGCATGAAATGCCACTGAGAGTAAACAATCAAATTTGTCCTTGGCGTTCGAAGTGCGATAGACACAGTCAACGAGTAAGGAGAACTTACTTCGCAGTGCAACCTGGAGCCAGCAGCTGCCTTTTACCGCGAAAAAAATGCAGGAGGTCCAGCGGCCAAAATGTAAGTGTTTGCTTAGCGTAGACGCAACTGCCCCCATCACGGCTTTTTTGACGATCATTTCAAATGCATGTATAACCTAGAAGGGAGAGTTCATAGTCAGCTAGGGAAGCTGGTGTCAATGTCCCAGTTACTAAAACAATATCTGGACAATGGACGAACACGAGAGTCTGAAGCAAAGGCATCCTATTTAACAGGGATCTGGCATTTAGAACAAAACGTTTGAGGGAAAAGACTGTTTCCGAGTGAGGTGGGCTACGTCGTCTGGTGCTTAACTGCCCACGGAACACACGGTCCGGATGTACCCGTCTGGTTCTGCAAAGAATTTTGTGACATCAAAAGATTCTGACGTGGATAAAAAGGGGTAGAATATGGGGAAGGAAATGACGGGCAGGGGAACTGGTAACGATTGTTAGCTAACTCATATTCAGCTGGTAATCCACGGGCCAGATACTGCAACGTATTCATGCCGGAACGAAAATTAGGAGAGGATGAGTTAACTGACCCAGTTTGGACATTAGCTTCAGGAATGCATTGGTAAAACGGCCGCGGAGGAAACATGTTAGGAGGTGGGAAACGCATTGCTTCCGTTGGAGAAAAAGTTCTATTAAAAAGCGGGAATTTCGGCATATTCGGCCTAACCGCCTCGATATGAGGGCTGGGGCCGTGGTGTTTGAGGCAGTGGTAGGCGATTGTGGAGAAAAAGGTTTCATAATGGTGCTGAATTTACTAGGTGTCCGAGTGGCTGAGATGGCATTTGGATTCGCCCTTGACTCGGGCCGATGCCTAAGCTTGCTAGGGGTTGCTGGGGGAGTCGGTAGGGACGTGTTTATACCAGGCGTGTTGTTGCTTCTAAAGATCTCAGCATGAAGTGTAGTCGAATTCCCTACGGGATTGACTATGCCGTGACGTACAAAGGCCGCAGATGATGATGATGATGATGATGATGATGATGATGATGATGATGATGATGATGATGATGATGATGATGATGATGATGATGATGATGATGATGATGATGATGATGATGATGATGATGATGATGATGATGATGATGATGATGATGATGATGATGATGATGATGAAGCAGACTTATTCAAACTGACAATAAATGCCATTATGTCGGTGTTGGTTTTTGACAATTCCAATCTGTTCAGTCTTTGCCGCAATGGTGTGAGGTCCGGCGAGAAGGATCGGCGCCAGTATAATTCGAGAGGACGAGGCGTTAGTGCTGCTGTTCCCTCTTCACTCCGTTTTCCTACCCGGAATGCTTTCAGGGCTTCTATTTCCATGTCTGCCTCGAGTAATTGGTTTAACTGACCATGAAAAGAAGCAAGATCCTCCGAGATACGATCTTCAGGTCTGACTGCATTTGATCCACACAAGTCCTGAACAACCAGACACAATTGGCGGTCTCGGCACTCTTCATTTTGTCTTTCCGGTGAATTCTCTGCATGGGGACGAGGACAATTTATGGAGTCCTCGCTTAGACCCACACTTTTGCTGTCGGCGGAATGCCCCGAGGAACCCATCGGGATTGGTTGTCACTTCAGACTCCTGTTATGGCGTTTCGCCACCCCACCCCCCTACCCAGGAGTTCCTGTCTTCGTAACCAAATGTTCGCCCTATAGGACACATGGGGTGCTTGGGAGAACAAGAGAGCAACGGTAGACAGGGTGACCTAGTTATATCGCTCATTGGCAAAAAAAGAAATCCTGTCGCTTTCAGCAAGAGGAGTAGGCGAGATGGCCCCCGCGACAGGTAATAGTTATGTAGCATCGCTTAGATCGTCTTTCGTGGAAATAGAGTCCGCCATTATCGGTGGTTTCGTTTTCATTGTCTTGCGGCTACTGGTACCTGCGCCTCTGCCGGCTGAATTGCTACCCGTGTTTGGAGATGCTCCCGAGACGATATTTATCGCGCGTTTTTCGTTTTGCTCCTCGTCTTCTGGATGTTAACACTGGCAACCTTCTGGTCATCAAAGTTCTGCTGCACGAGCGTCCTTAAGTTAGCAAGCTCCTTTTCAAGCTGTCTTGCTTTGATTTGGATATATGCGCACCCACTGCAAGACTTGTCCTCGTACGTCGCGCCTTTCGCGGTAATTGCTCCAGTAACACGCTTTGCTGATCGTTGACTGGAAGCGCAGATAGAGCGAGCTTAGATTCTGTATGCGAGAGACATCTCATCAAGCTGTCTTCTAATGAGCTGCCGGCGCTGGCCGTACTATTATAGTTAAATTACTGAGACCGCACGGACTTTGGAATGCGAGAATAGGTATATTTTTCGCTTCTGATGTTATAACGAACCCTTTGGATTGTGTATGAAGAATCGAAGTAGGTATTCAAAACTCAATGAATGAAAAAATACCTAAAAACTGATGTGTTGTATGAAGTTTAATCAGAAACGACTCAGCCGTTTGCAGATCTCTAAGGTCTTTATTAACGTCAGATCTGGAAGGGTTTTTGGCCATTGTTTTGCTTGGGTGTTAATAACCGCGAGTTGGCTGTGTAGTTAGTTAAACTGCGCCGATAAAAGAATTGTACTTCGTTTTCTTACGAATTTCGACACGTGAAAAAAGTATGCTCAGACAAGCTTAGCTTTTCCACCTTAGGAAGTTTTCTTTTCACGAGTACGAAGAGGCCGTCCGATTCTGTCGTTCTTTCTTCAATCATAAGTCCATTTTGGCTTATTTTCTTCTTTAGATGAGATCTCAGTTGCCTGTGCACGATGTGATTATTACTGTCAGTAGCCTACTTCGTCCCTTTGCGAGAGACGGTGGTCGTCTGTTCTCTGCTCTTCTGAGGCGATTTAAGATCTCACCTTATCATTTTCTCCGCGGTTGCTTCCGAGGTTTCCGTCTGTGTGGTATTCTTTCCAATTCAGAATTCCTTTACCTTCTTCTATGGAGGAGATCGGATAGTTAAGAACCCATATCAAAATGTTCTTGCAGTCATGCAATTTATTTAGTGTAGTATCATTGTGTGAGCAGCTCGGTGAATATAAAATCCATTACGGTCGTTGTTGCAAGCTGATGCATCCAGCCAGCGAAGGGTAATCTGATCACGGACAACAGGAGTTGGAGGACCGGCAGTGTTATTAGGGGAACTCGTACTTGCGGAGATTATTTCTAGGGCTTACGGTCCACTTCATTTTGCGTGATACTCGCACTCATTTCTGCCTGCCTTGCGCATATCTTCCATCCGTAAGAATAAGATTTTAAGCTCCCATAAGCGTATAGGGAGTTAAATAAAACAAATGCTTGCAAAATGAGGAAAACTCATCATAACAAGCCTAGCCTAGGGAGTGCTACGTGACATGCCTATATCATCCCGGAAAAACCACTTACTAATCTTAGTTCACATAGAACGCCAACCAGTATATTTCTATTGCTCAGGAAATGGGGCAGTTTTCATATAAAAACGTAGAACAGGGTTTTGTAAATGTGCTCGGTTTGTCTCCCACGGTAGACAAGCGTCACAGAAAACCAAGCGCCCTCTGGGTTTAACGTGACATTTTTATATTAGGCGCATCCAGTATTTAAATCTTTGCGATATATACATATAAATATGAGACCCCAACTGCTAATCCATGTTTGGCCATGTAGAATATCACGGATTCAGCACCTCCCCCACAGAGTGAACCATGTGTGAAACTCTCAACACCCCCCCTAACGTCCGCCACCTATCCGAACGCGTTCTTCACCCCCACACATAAGCGCCTGTCTTGTCGATGTAACCTCGATGTCCCCCAAGCTCCCCAGTGAGATTACCTCCCTCACGCTTTCCATTTCGTCTGACGATGGGTTGGTGTAACCGACTTGAAAATTCACGAGTATACCTCGATTGTCCGACGAGCCTTCTCCCTTTATTATATCGCCTCGGAATGCATACTACCTCCGTTATTCATATATACCCTACTGAGATGGCATTCTGTCGTCCTCTGTATCATACCGCCAGAAGATAAAAGAATGAGAAAGTCCCCATAAGCTCCTTATCAAATCAATATTTAGGCGCGAAAACTTTGGCAGCACATATACAAGATTAAAGAAGAGGTTGAGCTCGAAACCTCTGGATTAGAAGATGTCACACCAAATGAATACGTCGGCTTAAATTCATCCGGACCTATAACACAGGAAATGCTTATGGCCTTGCAACGCCAGAGGGTAAAATAACGGGAGAATTGCTAAAACATCACAAAACCTGGAGATCTGAAAATTAATATTTGTCAACTTTGCGCGTCAAAGGACTGCAAAAGTCTTCCAGCCACGACGTAAACCTGAAAATTTAGTCAAATTTCTGTCCATGGCGTATATCGATATTTCTAAATAAGGTAACTCGTTTCGGTAACCAGTGCCATATTATTATTATTGTTCATTTGACCTACTTGTGGAAAACTCGATGGTCTCGGCGAGATTCAAACCCCTAAAAGGTAGGGCAAAGCTTGGAAACTGCCAAGGCGCACTCGAGCCTTGGCCTTGCTGACGTGGGTTCAAATTCCATTGGAATCGTCGGTTTTTTTCACAAGTGGGTAAAACGAACCATCGAAATTCGTCAAAAACACTGTGCCCTGACAGCTTCCAGAGTACACAGTCCGACCGGGTTTATCCTCCGAAACATTAAACTCAGCGATATTAGAATGCGTCTTTATAACATGTACGTTAGACCTCGCCTGAAATACTGTTCGTCTTTATTTAGCATCATGCGTGCTGCTATGTGCAAGAAAAGAGAATCCGTCCAACATTTTTTTGCCAAGGGAGTTTTAATCTCGGAACGCCATAATTCGACTTACCAAGAACGTTGTGGATTTTCAAGCTCTGATGCCGTGTGGTTACGTCGATTGCATACAGGGCTATTTTTTGTTATTTAAGCTTAGAAACATTCGCACTTTTAACCCGCATACTAATTTTAAACATCTTGACTACCCCGCGACGTTTTTTTTATTTCTTCCTCTGGCACGTACCGTTAAGCATCGTCCGTCCTTTTCTGTGAATACAACTGCAATTCGGAGCAAGTTACCCAGGAATGTGAAAATGATGCAAAATTATTCTTTGTTTAAGAGAACTATTACTCGTTTTTGCATTCAGGAAAACTGCCACAAGTTTTGGATGCTGAATCCACCAATTTAATCTACCGTAGTGATGGATCTCGTGGTTTCTGGTCCCCCTGTCCAGTCTCATCCCGCGAGAATTGGTGCTGGCTCTATTGCCCGCAACACTAAGGACGATTTCTTCAGCCGACAACGAGCAACTGTCTTTCAACGCTTCTATTTGGTCGAGTCCAAATTTCGTGGAAAGGAATAGAACCTGAAATTATCCGATGCAGCTTTATCCACCCCTTTCTGTACAGACGTCATTTCCCGGGCAACAGTTTTTTTTTCTTCTAAACCATTCAAACTAGACAAAAACACCATCCTCTCTATTTACTCCTAGGAGATTTTTTCACTGTTAGCCCAATCCATGGTCTGCCTTTCTTTGACTCTACCTGTAAACTGCTATTAAATACAATAATTAGTATTATTATGAACCTAACCCCAACCTCAGCCCTAACCATAACTCTAATCCTAACCCTAACCCAAATTCTACCCTTCTCTAGAGTTTTGGGGCAAGACCACTTATAATAAACAGGGGGTTTATACTTCCGGGCCCAATCAAAGTAACCTCCTATTGGACTTCGTTTAACTGGCCACGTCATTTAAATTAGAACAAATATGAAACGAATAAATGTCACAGTTACCAAACGAATAAAGCGTTTTTGACCAAAAATAAGCAAAAAATTGTCGTATTTAGCACCCACACGGGTACTCTCATGGCAAGTACGCCGTCTGGGAGAGCCTATGTTGTCACGAGTTAGCACCATATATCCTCCTCTCAAGTGGACTATACTCCTAAGCTGGTGACTGTAAAGACACTGACTGAGGAAACTGGCTGTTTCAAACACCAACACATTGCTACCTTTGTCTACTTTTTAAGAAATCCGCTACTCTTTCTCCAGTAGTAGAGTCTTTGGTTGGGAAACAAGCATCGCTTGCAGTGTACGTCAACGGCCAGATCTTGTGCGGTTAAAATAAGATTAACCCTGTTATCAGAAAAAACAGGAGTAACATAGGGAGTTGTTATTATTCTAGGGATAGTTTGTGGCGAATCAGTCTGTGGTTTGTATGCGTCTCACAGCTGATGCTTCTACTGGCATTCTGGATAAAATTAAACAAGAGCCGCCACATTTAGCTTTGGAGGTTGAGGTTTAAGTTGGCTAAAATTTGTACTATAGAGTTTGAGAACTGCGCTGCGCTTCTTAGAATGGGACGTTTTTTTAAGATTGGTATTTTTGAAAGGAGTTCCAGTGAGGAAGTATGGTCGGAAAGTCGCTTTTCCGTCTAGTCGTACAGAGCCAGAATCCATCCGTGGGCACTTCAAAGTGTTGAATGGCATTCATCACACGTAACCTCCGTCGTGTGCACTATCCGCACTCGACTACTGACGAAGATCAGACTGGTTCACGACCCGCGTTTATCCTGACTGCGCTGAATCCGCGCAAGATCATAACTACTACCGTACGTGCACATGTGGTGGTGCGCCTTGGACGCAGGCCTCCAAACCACGTCAAACAGTGCACACAATCCCATCGCCAGCCGGTTGTCAAACTCAGGCAGTCGACTGGTGCATTGGGAAGGGAAAAGAGAGTGAAGGCGGCCTTAGAGGGTCCACGATCATCATCATCATCACCATCATCATCATCATCATCATCATCATCATCATCATCATCATCATCATCATCATCATCATCATCATCATCATCATCATCATCATCATCATCATCATCATCATCATCATCATCATCATCATCATCATCATCATCATCGTCATCATCGTCATCGTCATCATCATCATCACAACCTGATGAGACCAAAGGACCCACTGCCACGGCAAAAACCATCTGGAGTCGTTTACCGGATCTGGTGCAGTTGCGGACAAAGCAACTACGTCAGAGAAACTGGAAGGCTGCTCCGAACGCGAATTGCCGAACACGCGGCAGCGGTACGGAGGAATGACGCCAACTCTCAGGTCGCGCCCCATTCAACGAGACCCGGCCACATATTCAAGTTTGATGAGGCCGCAATTCTCGCGAGAGGGGATAATCGCGTGAGCCGCAAGTTGCTAGAGTCATGGTTCACGGGACCTCAGTCTATCAGCAAGTGCAAAGACATCCCTACGCCATATTCCGTGCTAAGGCATAGGCTGGCCATGGTACTTGACCACTGGGGGAGCGCGCAAGCCGGTGAACCAGATGGCCGAGCAATCATCACGCCAGCATCCAACATGGGTGATGACATTTCGGCAATTAACAACTTGCATGCCGGCCATTAAGCAGTTATCGCACCAGCGGGCTACAATCCTTGATGAAGCGGAGCGTGGTTAATTGCTATAGGTATGCGGTGGCATCGCGACTGCATCCTATAAATACTGTAACTTCCTGTGCACGAATCACCCTTTTCTGCTGCTGCCTCTGATGGTGGGTTCAAGTGAGAATCCGAAACGTTAGGCGAGTAAAGCCCTTGTTCCAGCGATCGCTTCTTCTTCTTCTTCTGATCGACTAATTCCTGGAACACGCATATTCGGTTGTACAGTGCACACAGTCCCATCACCAGCAGGTTGTGAAACTCAGGGAGTCGACGGGTGCAATGGGGAGGGGAAAAGAGAGTGAAGACGGCATTAGAGGGTCCACCACCACCACCGCCGCCGCTGCCACCACCATTACTACCACAGCCATCACCATCATCGCCATCATTGTCGTCGTCATTTCCATCACCGCCGCCGCCGCCGCCGCCACCGCCACCACAACCATCGTAGTCGTCGTCGTCATCATCATCACCACCATCACTGCTCGCCGTCACAAATCTGTCGCGCTCGAATCTATCGCTATATGATAAAAGTCGTGGCTTGGAAGATCGTCAACTACCGGGACAATTTGGTCCTTCTCAGGGCTGCAGTGGTTAGTTTTTAATGTGACTTTCATGACACTCTCACGCTTGTGATATCCGAGCCGTTTTTACAGCGGCCTGGTACATGCATTGAAGGCCAGGTCGTATGTAGCACGCGTAATTCGACTGTTTAAATTCACCAGTCACTGAACACACTCCCGGCCGTTCTGTCTCTGCCTTACCACTAGAGTCAGCTGGGTGAAGGAGAGGGAGTGCAATAGATGCTGCGCAAGTCTGCCCCCAATGCGAAATAATGCCCTCAGCTGCTTCCACTCCGTGAGAAGCAGACTGCAATTGTTGTCACCTGAGAAGATCGAACGGTGACACTCCACCACGCCACCCCCTTCCCCAACTGGACGAACACCCAAACCTGTAACAGTTTTGGGAAACAATAAAGCACAATCATTCGATGCCACCCATAAAAACTCATGTTAAAAAGACCTTGTGTTTGGTCATATACGGTGGCATCTGGGGAAAAGAAAGCCTTTATTCATCCAAATGCAGGGCTTTAAGGCCGCAACTCAAACAACAGAGTCCTATAATTGTCCTGAACAAAGGCAAAGGCAACAACTTAACCACCCAGCTTTTGGAGGGTAAACGGCCCTCTCTTCCTAGATGTCATTTGCCCGGACCCGCGTGGAGCGTTTCCAACTCAGTTTTTATACCATGGAAAAATTTATTGCAGGCAATTACGCCTCAAATACGCAGGCTCTGTTCACAGGAGTTCCTAAACCAGATTAAAGGTGTGTTTTCCCTCCGTGGCAGAACAAATAATGAGTTCGTGGAGCGGCTTCCTTCTAGCCCTCAAAATGTTCTCAGAACTCTGTACCCAAGTGATTGATCCAGGCAATACTGTGACACAGAAGTCTTTCTATGCCGCCCATAACTACTTACAGGCGACTGAGAAATAACTGAAAAGTATAATGAGCAGGGATAAAAGGGTTTGAGTCGTCTTAGAGGAATTTGAAAAATAATATATTGACTGGTGATCAATTTTGATTTGGAGTGAAATACAACTTCTTGAAAGTCTCACAAAGTGGACAAGTCTACGTCTTTTGGTGTAATGGCTGCATTTGGCCAGAACGGTAAATGGGATATAGCGATTCACATCAGGTAAATCTCTCGTGCTTCCAACGGCCTTTTCTTGTAGATATGAGGCCATGAGTGCGGCTACAATTAGTTTCATCTTTAGGGCAACATTTCTACTAATGCGACAGAAGACGTTTTTAACGTTTAGTCAGCGGCGTTTACTTCACTAAATACAAAACAACTGTAGGCGGTAGCAGGGCCTGATAAATTTCCACCGAGAGTGACTCAACAGCGATGAGTTTGCCTGCTTTGGTTTTACTAATTAGACTACATACATTTAATGACTGACAAACGTTTTGGGCGTCCATGTTATCTGTAGAGTCAATCAATTCAAGAGTTTTGCAGTTTCCACCCCTGCCTAGGCAGGAGCTCCTCCTCCCCCTCGTCGTCGTCGTCGTCGTCGTCGTCGTCCTCCTCCTCCTCCTCCTCCTCGTCTGATGCGTGTGCAGTATAATGTTGGTTGCAGTAACTCTGGCAGAATCGTACTCCTCGTAAGGGACGTTAAAATACTGGCTTTCATTGACTAAATTTTGAATGGAAGAGTAATTTACCATGAAAGCTGAACGTCCAGTATACAGAGACCGTTAGGCGGATACTCACGCAGACTGACTCAGCAGAGGTGGAGGAGCAGTTTTAGGCGATGTCGAACCGATTGACGAATTGAGAGCGAGGAAACATTGTAGACGACAAACGAATGAAAGTAAACATTGATGGTATGAGCTAACTTATGTTTATGTGGTCTGAAGTGATCACAACGACCGCGTGATGATAACAAGAGTAGAAATCGCACAAATTAACCGAAAAATACCTGATGATTGTTAATTGAAATTGAAGAGGCCAACAAGTAGACTAAAAAGATGTACAGCAAATTATTTAAAGAGTAGTTGGAGAAAACTGGTCGATCACCAAGATAATTTGTTTATTTTTCTGAACTTTCGAACCAGTGAAGGAGCCCATCGTCAGAGATAAAAACGGCAGAACCAAAGCGGCGGTTATAGGGAGCGTTATTCAAACAAACAATAGCGTCGCAGGTTTTCAGGCGACTGCGCAGGGCTCGTTACACTAGCTCCTAATGATACATCCATTAACTGCGTTCTATTTCGAGGCCCATGATTCAAGCAATTCTTGACTTGTCTTGCTTCTGACGTCTGCGATTATTTTTGTAGCTGCAAAGTTAGGTTCATGGCCCATTTCGATTGTGTGGGCAGTTACTTGTGGTAATTCGTCACCCAATCGCACTGCCAGCTTGTGTCCGGGCAAGTGAGATCCAGGCATACGTCCAGTCTGACCTGTGTACTTACAAGAGTGGTTTATGCACGGAATACACCGCACTTGACTACTCACTGATTCTTATCATCCTTCTGCGTGAGGTAGCTTTCGGCTGGTGCGTAATTCCAGTAGCAATGCCTCTGCCGCCTCTGATGTGCCCCTAGTGGCCGGTAGAAAATGCCAGACCATCGATGGAGTTTCCACGCCTGTCATCGCGTGCTTTTTTGCGGCTGCGGCGGTGGGTCTGGACCCCGTTTGAAGAGTGCTAACGCACAGCCATGTTTGTGAGTCGCCAGATTAGAACTCAGCCAATCGATGCATCGACTTGGCGCCCGCATACAGAGCCCTCCGCACTTAGGGCCAGTACAGCTACGTAACAGATCAGAGAGAGTTTGCAAGGGGTGGAATTATTATTTCGCTTGCTATGGACAGTTCATAAAGGCCTCGCTGGTGTAGGGGGCACAGACGAAACGAGAAAGAAGCACAGGTAACAATGTGCTGCAATTATCCTCCGGCAATGGAATCTTTGGATAGTTACCTTCTGGCCACGACAACCTCAGCCCCTGTGCGAGATGCTTTGCTAGCAGAAGACTGGATTATGGGCAAGTAAGCGCAGCCACAAGGACTTGTGATAGTTCTGATATTCTCCAAGGACTACCTGAAAGGGTTTATTTGCATTTAGACGGTGGCCAATGTCTAGTAGGTGGGCGAGGCCCGAACTGTCAGCCGTTTTCGATCCACCTTTTCCTAGCCATGCTGGCAGATGTTCTCTCATATTTTTCTTTAAAAAATAAGCTTTTTTCTTTCTTTGAGGAGTTAATGCGCAAACTTGGAGTAAATCGTGTAGAATAAACAGTTTCGGATTCAGTTTGAAAGCTGACATGAATAGCTGAGCCGAACCCCACCAGCGATAACCGTGTAATATTTCCCGTCTCCCAACGGACAGTCAGTAGTATGCATATGCTGCGTAATTCATCACATTGAAAGTACAGGTACAAGGTAGGAATACAGACGGCGACTTTCTGCTGCTGAATGACACAGATCCGAGGGTTTCGTTCATTGCCGACTCGCAGCCACCAAAATAGTCGCCCACGCAGACCGAGAAGTGATTGAGGCCTGGGCCTCGGATGAGAACTCGGTCAATCGATTTATCGATCTGGCGCCGGCGTACAGAGACCTGCGTAGTCACCTTCAGTCTTGCGTCGTCGATCAATGATTGGCCTACATGCCTTATAACTGTCGTTTGTTCTGTTGCTGCTGCTACCTCTAACGATGGACTCCTGCACGAGTCTGAAAGCTCAGGGCAATAAACGAAGTGTTCCAGTGCTCGAATCTTCTTCTTCACTTATGCATACACCTGGAACTCGAAATTTCGCCTTCGTTGCTGATCCCCTCCGCGTTCCCCAAGTGGTTTCTGGAAGATACTACAATTTTGAAATTTCAACTCTCTAATCTCCTCAGAACTTAGTGTGCAAACTTGAACTTTATCCCTCAAGGGAAAGTTTTTCAGTCCAAGTCCGAAAGTTGGTATGAATATTAGGACTGAAAGTTACCAGTTTCATCGGAACAAACAACATAGCATTCAAGAGCTGCCAGTACTTTTTAATAAAATCCTTCCCGCTTGACTGGTGCTCCAGTCTGGGGAGTGGGAGACTAATGAAGGGATTTCTACCCGTTGCATTAGTATGCAGTTGTAACTTTCCATGTATTCTAGTCTCATTGCTGAGTTCGCAGGGAAGAGCAGCCGGATTTCGCCATCAAAGAAAGCCTGAGTCAATCGTCTCTTTACTGATTCCCTGGGGCATTGCCTTGAAAGAGCATTTTAACGCTGCATTTTGACGCTGACGATGTGGTTGTTGGCTACCCCCTCAAGTCAGACACATCTCCAGTCTCTAAAGGATGGCCTTGACTATGTCTCAGTATGGTCACAGGAAAATGGCCTCCTAATGAACAACCAAAATCAGTTCAGTGTATTTTCATTTTCCCTCCACATTGAGTCCTTCTCACTAAAGTTCGTCAAATTCTTTTCACATTCGCCGTCTACACTCCTACCACACACCTCAGCCCTTATTCTGACGATTCATAGTTGCCCGTATTCTACCTCATATTCTTTTTTTGTCTTCCTGTCATTAGTCCCGCTTTGATGACGTTGCCCATCCCCTACATTCTGAACTAGTTTCTGTGAAGTCTTCCCGCCCTATATGCCGTGGCTTTTAACTTGTCTCTTGGCATACCAACATTCTGTATTGCCATTCCTGGCGCGCTATCTTACGCGTGAAGAGACAGAAATACAGAAGCTAGGACTCGAACTGCCCCCATAATGGTCGTTCATTTTGTGTGAGACATTTTGACTCTTGTGGTATTAACTCATTTTCTGTCCACAGTGAATGGAGCCCATTTTTGATGAGGATTTTAAATATATGATTTCAAAATAAAGCGAATACCTCTCTTTCCTCATTACAGTGACGATCTGCCCTGTTCCTTTTTCATCTTATCTGGACATGCTGACCACCTGCACCTTCTTCTGCCTGTCATGACACCGGGCCCAAGTAGGGGAAGAGAAGATGGTGCGGAAGATGCTGAACAAGTCCACTGTAATCCATGAACTAATTCACGCACAAGTCATCGTCCCTGCCCCTACCCTGTTCTGAGAGGGCGGTGAACAACGTTGGTAACAGCGGTCAAAATGCCATCTGGATATGGGTGGCGAAAATGCGAATATTTCCGTCTGGAGGTCCGCCAGAGTGGCTGCGCACGGCGATATGTCCACCACCCCCTTATTACAGGTAGTGTTGTCCTAAAATCCAAGGGGCCTAGGGTTAGGGTCAGTGCCAGAGTTACGGTTGGGCATAGAGTTGAGAAGGTTCGGGTTAGGGTTATGAGAGTTGGAGATGGGTTGAAGGTCGGATCTTATTTCGTAGCCGTACCTGTAGTAGACAAGCCGAAGCTGACTGTCATACGGGACCAGTGGTAATAGAGGGTTTAACCCTAACTCATAACCCCCAACCCTAACCCCAACCCCTAGCCTTAACTCCTAAACCCAAGCCCTAACCCTAACATTAACCTCTAACCCCTAACCCCAACCATAACCCCTAACCCTGACCCCTAATGCCTAACCCTAACTCCTAACAGGTACGACTAAAAAAATAAGAGTTGGGAGGGTTCGGGTTCGGGTTAGGATTATGAGAGTTGGAGATGGGCTGAAGGTCGGATCTTATTTCGTAGACGTACCTGTAGTAGACAAGCCCAAGCTGACTGTCATATAGGACCAGTGGTGATAGGGGGTTTAACCCTAACCCATAATCCCCAAACCCAACCCCTAACCACTAACCCTAACATTAACCTCTAACCATAACCTCTCACCCTGCCCCCTAACGCCTAACCCTAACCCCTAACAGATACGGCTACAAAATGAGATCTTGCTGGGTTAAAGATTAATGTTAGGGTTAATGTCGAGGCTAGGGGTGAGATTAAAATTAGGAGACGAGAATAGGTACCTTCTGGAATTTTGTGCAATGTCACCTGCAGTACCGGGGTTCCACATTCCTGTGTCCGATCCTCAAATTTGCCTTTTTTGTGACATCCAATGCGCCTTCAGATTCGGGTTATCCTCAGCGGGAAGGAGGTTTTGAGATTTGTTCGGAGAAGACGGATTCTGCTTCTGGTGAAGCTACTGTGACGAAATTGGGGTTACTGGAGTCCTAGATGATATTTCAGAGAACTCTTGAAGGACTTGGCAGCGACTAATCCACAACGTTCAGACTGGAGTACTCATGAAAGGTAAGCGAATTTTCAGCTATTTGTTCGTAATTTTTGTTCAGTATGACGATTTTTTGGGCCATTGTAAATGATCGTGCCTGGGAGTTAGCCATCTCGTTTTCCTACAAGTTCAGTGTGCTTATTGGTCAAAATGAGGTTGCCTGTGTAAGCCGTCGAGGTGTTTATAAACGCCTTTAAACCCTAAAAATATGATTTACAAATATAGGATATAGAGAGCAATTCAAGACCTACAAACAACAATTACCCGTAGCTTTCTATAATACTCCAGACTCATGTAGGTGCTGACGCACAGATCAAAAGCGGAACTCTCGCCGACGTTCCCCGTTAATATACAACTGTGTAATTATTTGCCGTACTGACAACACAGGTATTAGCTAAAAGCCCAGACACGCGCGTTTCGCCGATCTTGTGCCGCTGCCTGACGCAGCTGCAAGGGATTCGACTCATCAGCGGCCCCCCCGCCTTCTCCGTGTGTTTTCTGGTATATAAACCCCAGTTTCCTCTGCCTCCTTTAATTTCCGAGTAAATTAATGCTCGGACTTGGAGTAAATCCATTAGAACAGATCTTTTTAGACATGGCCCGAAATTTCTTAAGAATATTTCAGCTGAAATCCATCAGCAACTGCGAAATAACCGTCTGATATTCACAAACCGCCGAAGGTATTTTCCGAAGGATGTGCTCCAAGTTCACACCTTAATTTCCTCGGAAATTAAACAAGGCAGAGTGAAACTGGAGTTCATATACCAGAAAACACACGGGGAAAGCTGGGGGACCCACTGACGAGCCGAACCCCTCGCAGCTGCGTCAGGCAGCGGCACAAGATCGGCGAAACACGCGTGTTTGGGCTTTTAGCTAATACCTGTGTTGTTAGTACGGTAAATTATTGCACAATGCTATACTACTGGCTGCCTGTTGGCGGTTTGTGAATATTAAGCGGTTATTCCGCAGTAGCTGATGGATTTCAGCTCAAATATTCATATCAAATTTCGGACCTTGCCTGAAAAGGCCTGTATCGAAAGAGTTACTCCAAGTTCGCGCATCAATTTCCTCGGAAATTAATCAAGGCAAGTTGAAACTGGAGTTCATATACCAGAAAACACACGGGCAAAGCTGGGGGACCCACTGACGAGCCGAACCCCTCGCAGCTGCGTCAGGCAGCGGCACAAGATCGCGAAACACGCGTGTCTGGGCTTTTAGCTAATACACGTGTTTTCAGTGAGGTAAATAATTAGACAATCTTTCTCCGTTAATTTCGCCAACTGACAATCAGACTGCCTCGGGTCACCCCACTGAAAAATCTAATTTTCTTTCCAATGCAAATTACGGGTCTAGGGCTCACGCATAGGGTAGCTTGGTGAAGAACGGTCAGCAATCGAAGTGTCTACCGATAAGCGCAGCGGAGACTGGATTTGTTCTTAATTCCTCTACTGCCGTCAGCCGGACGTGCCCTGGGCCCGTGGCTTGATTGTCTTCCCGACCCGACGGTAGGATGCTGTCCATTGACGATGGAAAATAAGATAGCGCGGGGTCTAATTGATCTGTCGCTATTTTTCCCGACAAACGAGTGTGTTCAGTTTTTGCCATAAGACTTCTACTGGGTAGTCGGAAGGTCTGTCGTGTTTAATTGGAGGATGGTCACGGCGGCTGGAGCGGAAACATTCACTGGAGCGTGCGAGGGATCGCCAACTAGGGTTTGAGGGGATGTCAGACTGTATAATATAACATGATTCGTTCCTAGGGGCTAGGACTTTGCAACCCAGTCTGGATTGCCATAAGCGGAGTCGTTAGCAGATCCGACTACTGCAAGGGGTACGCACTCCCAGACACAGGTTTGCGGTCTGTGCAAGCAAACATTATGTGCTAAGCCAGTCGTTCTCAAGCATACGAGCTTTCCACATCACAGACGGTAATGAATTAAATAATGAAAAGGAAAGGGAGATCGCTGAGATAACTTTGTCCGCTGATGCCGTCCAGCCTGCGTCTGCACTCACCTCCGGTAAGTGAGGGAAGAGAAAGAGGGAAAGCGCGATAGACGTTGCGCAAGCCCGCCTCTCCGGTGCTGTGTCTACTCCACTAGTCAAACGGTGGACATCCTTGTCCGCGACTGTCGGACTGTGGAATATCCTCAGGAACCTCAGTGACGCGGTAGACTTTAGTTAGCCGTCTTCAAGGTGAAAGTCAATGATGAACGAAAATGACGCATAGGACGGTCCCACAGAAAAGTAAAGGTTAATCAAAATGTCTTCTGCTTATTAAATGTAAACTGGGGAATTTGCAGTAGAAGTACTTGCATTTTCGAATGTTGGTGGTGGTTGTGGTGGTGCAAGTGGTTGTGACGGTGTTTTTGGCTGGTCGGTTGCATTGCGCTCCTGAAACGGGCCACTTGGTTAACGCACTGGTCCAACACGGGGGTTAGATAGGCTCCAACGGGCGTTCTCGGGAATGCGCACCCATAAAAATGTTAACAAGAAGGATGTGGCGGAGCGCCAGGTGCAGCGCACACCGCGCCAGCTGAGATTCTAGCCAAACCACTTTTTCTTGTTGCATAATATCCTGATCAGTGTACCTCGTGGACCTGCGAATGTGGCGGTGCGACCAGGTGCGGGTTTTAGCCGTGTCAGCAACCTGCGCACTCTCCCGCCTCCGGTCTTCGTGACGCTACTTTGACACCCAGTTCTTATGGGAAAGAAGGCAGTGAGGTAAGTGCTGCGCAAGTCTGAAGTCGCTATAAAAGAAATTACGTCGTGCCTGGTTTCACCTGCTGCGGAGTACACGATGGGCATCGTCGGCTCCGACAGTCGAACCGTCGGTGGTGTTGGCGGTGGTGGTGGTGGTGGTGGTGGTGGTGGTGGTGGTGGTGGTGGTGGTGGTGGTGGTGGTGGTGGTGGTTGGCACGTCTAAAATTCAACCCAAAAGCATAAAGAGTTAGGCCCAGATCGGCCATTATGGGCGATCAGAATTACTGTGCATGCGCTTTATGAACTACAATAAATGATACGAACTAGTTGATAAGGTCTTGTCACTTATTTGATAATGTATCCTAAGCTCTCGAGAAGCCTGCACAGGACACTGGAAAGACAATTTCCGGCTTATCTGCCGTCATTTAATCTATCAACTCCATTTTCATATGACAAAACACTTTACGGCCCTAGAGGTGCTAATTTCATTTTCAACACTTGCTTCACAGAAATGTTTACGGGAACATCCTGAGCAGTTGGTCAGAAAGTCCCCGATTCATAAATATATTTCGGAGAACCTCACGGAGTAACTGTGACGAAGGCTGCTAAAATCCACATACCCTGTGCGTTGGCAGGGTGGGGGGGGGGCATTTTTAGGCGGCCCTATTGTCCCAGCCACGCCAGATAACTTTCGAGAATAGTTAAAAAATAGGCGACTAAATCAAGTAACCATCTGCAGAACTTATCTGAGAAAAGTCTTTTGTACATGCATGTCAAAAACCGCAGAGTATGAAGCAATTCGACCTCATGGGTTGCGTACGGACTGGTCCTCAGCTGGAAAAGCAACAATCCAAGTTTCCGACACTTTGAATGCGAGGCTGGGCGCCTGTACGTGGGCCTTATCTGGATTGGACACGGGAATAACTAATCCCATCACTCTGAAGGCGGCTAATTCCCGAGGACCAATTGTTCATTTCTCCGAACTTCTAAAAGTAACCCCAACCCCAATCTTAGCTATCTCCTCCAAGTTAGGGGTTAGAGCTAGCGGTTAGGGCTAGGAGTAAGGGTTAGAGTAATTAGTCCTCCACCACTCAAAGTACAACCGCGCATTCCCAATAGCTTTTCTTTTGCATAAAGTCACTTGGCTTCGTCGTCTATGCGCTCCCTGGCCCCACCTGTAAAAACCCCTATTACCAGGCATCCCATATTACAGGCGGCTGAGGTTTGTTTACCTCAGGTGCGGCTACATAAGCATATTTGACCGGCAGTTTAGTAGGCATTACATACCAAATAGGCTCACTTAATACTAGCCAGTTAAGGGACTTATGACATGAAATCGCCTGCTAACTTGCCGTCTGCGCTGGGGGGCGGGGGGGGGGAGGAGAGACGAAGAAACGGACAAAACGCACTTGCTTTGCAAATGACACCAGCAAGAGTTAAGTCGCCAGTTGCAAGGACCTGGTGGGAAAACGGCGTTTCGAGGACAACTAATAAGACAGATCGAGGCATTATGCAAATGTTAAGACCAATGGGTCATCATAAATGTCAAAGGTGCCTGCCTAAGGCGTAGCAAAATAAAACGTACAGTTAAAAGTGGACCTATTTTAATTGAAGACGAAGACAGGCTCTCCGGAAGAGGTTTATTTAAGTGCTGACGTTTCAAAGAGCTGGGTCGGCTCTTCATTGTCAAAGCGTAAAATGCACTTAATCGATCAGAAATTTAATTTAAAGTGGCAGTCGTGTTGGCCGGCCTCATGCCGATCGATTTTAAGTTATTCTGCCCAGCGAACTGCATTCCAAACTGGAGGGCCGGGGAAAGGCCGTTTTTGCATGGCCTTAAGCGAGACCTCGAAATGTGTGGCGGACAGTGTCCTCCCAAAACGGACTGCGTTGGATCAAAAATGGGACGCGCAGACCTATGACGCCTGGTAACCGGACTACGGTGTTGGCGCTGGGTCTTAAACAAGGCCATGGCTACGTTCGTCTGGTGGTAGACGGAAGTTTAGCATCAAATCGGTCACTGTGTATCTTTTCGTTTCCAATCTGCGTGACCCAGGCAAGTTGCTGGTAGAGGGAAGAGAAAGAAAGATACACACACATTTACACACGACAGCTCAAATTTCATTTCCGACGATGTCCACGGTGTATCCCACAGCAGTGTGAGAGCAGGGATGATGACTCAAACATGAATTATTTTATAGAGATAGTAGACTTGCTCAGCATCTGCTGCACTCCCCCTTTCCCACTGTTCACCTGGACACGGTGTCAAGACAGAGTCAAGAAGACCGGAGGCGGGGCAGGGCGCAGGTGGGTGACCCGGTCGAGCCCGCATCTTGGCACTCCACTTCACACCCCCTGGTCCACACAGCAAATGACCAGGTTTTTGACCAACATCAACGATGGAGGAACGGCAGGGGTCCCAGTGTGCCTGACTTCTGCCAGCAATCGGGTCTGCTATTACACCCCGAAATGCTGAAATTTGTTATGGTGCGCAAATCCGATAACGCCTGCCAGAATCCGATATGGCCCCCATGTTAGTCCAGCGCATCTACCACCTGGAGCGTTTGGGGACACACACACACGCACGCACACACACACACCTAAGCACCCACACGCACACACAGTTCGACCGTCGATTTCGACGATGTCCACCGTGTGTCCCACAATAGGTGGTGGGAGCAGGGACGGTGATTTGCGCGAGGGTTTATAGTGCCGACAGACTTGCGCTGCATCTACCACACTCACTCCTACACCCCCGCCTGATCCCGGTGTCAAGACAGAGTCAAGAAGATCGGAGACAAGGGGGTCGCAGGTGGATGGCTTGGAGGGATCCGCACCTTGGTGGTTCACTCTGCATCCCCTGGTCCACACAACAACTGGTCAGGATGTTCACCCACAAAGCAATGGGGTGGTGACAGTGGCCCCAGTTGTGC